AGACGGGGGACAAGACAAACGAAAACTAATAAAGAGATACAAAAGACAAACCAACTAAATTCTTATACTCTGATAGGGATATAGGGTTGTCTTCCTTGGGCCTCGAGGGTATTCAAAAGTCGCCCTCTAGCGGCGTCATTATCCGTACATTGCCAAACTGCGTGATCGATGTCATCGTAACCGTTTCCACACCAACAGATGTTGCTGTCCACAAAATTTATTCTATTGAGATGAGCATCTAGCGAATAGTGGTTAGACATAAGTCTACTCATAACGCGAATGAAGTCACGACTTAAACCCAAGCCTTTAAACCACGCTCTCGAAGAAACATTAGGAATAATTGAATGTAACCATCGTCCAAGATTTCCATTGTCCCAATCGGTTTGCCAACTCGAAAGGGTACTCTGACGCCATGTTCAACTTAAAGAAATTTTAGAAGTTTCACAGAACTGCAGAGATTTTCAGAAACATTTCGAGAACTTTTTAGAAGTCTATGAAACATCAAGAACTTTAATGAACATTAGCAAAATGCGGAAGCATTTCAAACAATTTAAGTAAATTCTAAAAATAGGGTGGGTTCAGTTCCATTGATTTCAGAAAATTAGCGATGTTTAAAAAATTATTGAGGTCTGCACAGATGTTCAGAAATTCATGGCAACTTTAACATTTTTAAGACCGTTCAATTAATTCCAGGGCGGTACAACAAGAATCGTGATAATAGTATAAACTTTAGAGAAGCTTCGAGAACGTCAGGAAAGAACAGAGAACCTTAGAGCAGTTCCGTTAACATTAGAGAAATGAAATACATTTTTAAAGAAGTTTCGATAGCTTCAGCTAATTGTTACAATTTTAGAGAAGTCCATGATCGTTACTAAAATTGAGAAACCTATAGGAAGTCGCAAAAAGTTCAGGGAAGTTTAATCCAAGATCCAAAAGAAAAGAAAAAAAAAACATTTCAAGCTAATGAATTTTTAAAATTGATTTGTTACTGAAGATTAAACAACTCTGTTCAATATGAGATTGAAAATGACGAGAAAATGAAATGTTTGTATTTTGAAATGCATTATTTTCTTAAAAATGTCCTTAGTAAGCTCCAAGGTTAACCAGCCACTAGCTGCAAAGGTTAACCAGCCATAAAGCAAAAAAAATCCTTATTAAGAATATTATTAAATTCCCTGAGTAACGATGAGCTTCCCTGAGGATTCCCGGTTTTCTAGGTTTTACCAGGTAGTACACACAAAACAAATTTTTCTTACATCTAATACTTTTTTTTTTCCTTGGTTTGTTTTCCGTTGATTTTGTTTTCCGTAATCAGCACCAATGCTGTCGACGCCAGGGAGGTAGCTTCCATACCTGGACCCTACCTGTCGACCCATCAACTCATGGACCGGGGACCAACGGTTTTATTTATTAGGCGTGATCAGAAATGTTATGCCTCTGAAAATCCCGGCGGCGCCGACTGGGATTAAATATACCCCGGCCCTTTGGGGTGAGAGTCTGTTACGCTTACTACTACACCACCGGCGCCGCTAACATATGTATTTAATGGCAGTTCTTGCAGCATACAAACAAGTTTTCCAGAATGCTTATTTTTGAATAAAACCTTCACGAAATGATTTTCTAGACGTAATGAATGTGAGAAAACAAACTTTTTTCAAAAATTAATCCGACATAAAAATTACAAAATTATTTAAAAAAACCCATCCGCCGACCACATCACAGAATCTGTTCATGTCTTGAAACATTGCAAGTTCTGCATACATTTCATGCAAATCTGTGGTAGAACCTCACGTTTCCCGGTTGTGTGTAGACACCCTGGCTAATACCGTGGGTTTGATCATAATCTTTCTATTTAATCTTTCGCTTTAAAGGTTCACATCGTACATAAGTGTTTATGAGATACTAATTGCATAAGCCTAAAACATCCAACATTTATTTGGTGTTCCATCAGAACGAATACTTTTCTTCGCTTAGGCAACATCTTAGTCACCTTTTTAACAACTATATAAGTCACTATTTGTTCACTTTTTTCTTTAAAATGGTCACTAAAATCACTATGCTGTCATTAATTGCTGCCAGCCCTGTAAGTAAGATAAGGGCACCTCAGAGAAAATCGTAGAGCGGTTCAGAGAATCTTAACACATTTCATGAAACCTCAGAAAAGCTGTAAAGAATCTCAAAATGTAAAAAAATCTCTAGGAAAAAAATGCCAATCCATAGAAGTTCTGGACAAGGTTGCAAACAGGGTTACTTCCACTCACTTGCTATAAAAAAATGTTTTTCCGAATTATGTAATCATGAAATATTATAATGCTAATTAGTACTTGTAAGTTACAAGAAGAGGTCATGAAGTATATGTTTGACACATAAAATCTGTCTATATTGCTTTCAGTGCGTCACAATCAGCGATTTTACGACTCGTGAGCGCTCACTCTGAGTGAACGCTCACGAATCATAAGATCGCTGATTGTGACGCGCTCAAAGCGAAATTTGCAGGTTTTATGAGTCAAACACATACTTTACACCTTCTTCCTGTTACTTACACGTGCAACACAGCATTATAACGACTAATGATTGCATCATTCCGAAAAATATTTTTTTATAGCAAGTGAGTGGAAGCAACCCTGAAAGACTCATTTCAGCTAAAATAATGTTTTTCGGAATAATAAAACCAAAAGATGGTATGATGGCATGTTTTACTTGTAACTTACAAGAAGAGGTTACAAAGTATGCGTTGCAAACATAAAACCTGTAAATTTTGCTTTCTATGAGTCACAATCATCGATTTGCTGATCGCTGAGTGAGTGAGTGAGTGAGTGAGTGAGTGAGTTTGTGAAAAATCGCTGATTGTGACTCTCATGAAGTGAAATAAACAGGTTTAATATGTCAAACACATTCTTTGCAACCTCTTCTTGTATCCTACCAATTCAAAATTCGATCATGGCAACTAATTATTTCATAATTTAGAAAAACATTGTTTTAGCTGAAATGAGTCTTTGCAACCTTGGTTCTGGAGAAGTTCAAGAAAAATCTATATGCATATAAATGGGTCCGAATATGGGATTTGCTACTAAAAGCAAAATTCCTGGTAAACAACTAGTTAAACACTAGAATAAGCTACATTTTATTCACAAGGACACGAATCAGTGTTACACTCGGGACATTTGGGGAGAAATTAATAAATTCTTAAAAATGCTGTTTCAAAATCGTTGAATTCAAATGAAAATATTTCGAGATTTCACGTGGATTTGATGCAAATTTTCTTGTAACAACCCTGTTCTTCTTCTTCTTCTTCTTCTTCTTCTTCTTCTTCCTCTTCCTCGATTTTCAAGCTAATTGCATATCGTATATTAGCTTATAGCGTGCTCTCAACTTAGTGTTCTAGATGCACTTCCACAGTTGAGAGCTTCGATTCCTGCACCATTTTTGTATTAGTATAATTGTGCGGCAAGTACAATCATACTATATGCTCAGGGAAAGTCGATAAATTTTCCAACCCGAAAAAATCCTAGATCGGACCGGGAATCGAACTCAACCACCTCCAGCATGGTCTTGCTTTGTAGCTGCGCCTTTGTCGACTGAGCTAAGGGAGGCCCTATATTTAGCGGCGATGTTTCTACCATTACTCAAGTCAGACAAGTCAGTCTTCTTCTTGATATGTCGTCTTCAGTTGCACCGTTCTATCAGACTAAATTTAAAAAGTAGGCAAGCATTGCGTAAGTCGTTTGAATTTATATATAATGTATATATAAATTTTAAGATAATGTTTATCATGACTTGTAAGCCACACTGGTCATATATTGAGGAATTTATCTTTGGGTCGCAAGTAGCCCGCTGTCCGCAGTTTGCTTATCACTAATATATAAATTGAGCTGCATAAAATGCTGAGGGCTTGGCCCTTTCCTATGCACTGATGAATTATTTATCTCCGGCAAAACCATTTCCCATAGAGAAAAACAGTATTCAATCTTGATCTCGATTTGATCACGACAAACGACAAACACTCCCGGTTACCGTTTTTTCCCCGAGAACAGTTAGCTTATTGCAACCGAGGTCACAGCTATTCAATCCATTTAACAATAAAGCGATAATCGCCATCAAAAGAAACCGCTTTCTTCCCGTATTTGCCGCATCGAAGGCGACTGATTCTGCCTCTGCGTGTCCGTCGTGTGACAAACCGGTACCTCGTGTCGTCACCGTACATGTCAGCACGACACTTTATCAACACTTCAACACCATTTGCACGGAATTGTTTCTTCGAACAATTTTCCATACCTGTTCCATTCGGTCCAGACGATGTGCGCGGTGATCGGGAATGTTCCATCATTCAATCACTTTTCCTCGCAAAAGCGATTTTTTCACACGGATTAGGTCATTTCATTTTGCACCTTCCGTGCTGCGCTGCTGCTGTGCTGTGGTCAAAGGAAAACAAACCGACCGACAATGTTTGATCATCGACACACACACACACACAAACACACCTACCGGGTTGAGTTGGCCTTCTCGATCGTCATCGGTCACCGGATGACATCAGCTGGCCGTTATTAGGGTTGTTACTTAGTACATATTCTATTCAGAATTAAATGATGCCAAGCCACATTTTCGTAATCTTACACTGATCTGACGTCTGCAATTAAGGTATTGGAAGTATAAGGTAATTCACCCATCTCTTGATCGTGAACATATCAGCGGTTGGGTGAATTTTCAACATTTTCTAAAAGCATACCAACCCTACCATCAAGCACATATTCCATTCCAACAAAAATCACCTCAAGCGTAGCCGTGTAGATTAGCAAGCTTGTTTGTTTTCACTTTAATTTTTTACCATTAATTTCATACACATAGCCCGTACAAAAAAAAAGTCTTCATAGTTTTTTGTTGATTGTGTGTTCTTTTTTCTTTTATCTTCTTCTTTCCATGTTTTTTCTTCACTTGATTTGACTTGGCTTCTGCATGATTTGCCTGCCTGTGCCTGCCTGGTTTTCGATTCGATCGATCAGGTCACCGTTGCATCATCACCACAGCCGTACCTCGTCCAGCAACAACCTGAACGGCAACGCGGCCGCCCATCGGCAACAACGACCCCAGACGCTGACCTCGACCCGGGATTCACCGAAGAGCGCACCGGTGCCAATGCTGACACTAGTTCTCACCGTCAACAAGGATGCCAACGGGTACGGGATGAAGGTAAGCGTGTAGATTTCCGTCTAGTGCTAGTGAATTTTGCTTGAATGATTGCCCTATTTGAATGATTTCTTGTTTTTCAAAACAAAAATAAAGGTTTCCGGTGATAAACCGGTGTTTGTGGAAAGTGTCAAACCGGGTGGCGCTGCGCAGAAGGCCGGTCTGATGGCCGAGGATATGATACTGAAGGTAAGAACGAAGAATATCCGAACCCGATTTGCGCGTGGGCGTGAACTGTCGGGCAGCTGTTGTTGTGTACACATCGAAACGAGAATTTGACTCATTCCGCAGCAAGAGAGAGAGACGAAAGGTGATAATGAATTTCACGGTTCACCTTTTCTCCTGCACCGCCCGGAGTTTAGCAGCAGCGGAGGTGGCACTGACCTGACTCAGCTGAGCCATTCACCTGAGCTAGAGGCGTTTGCTTTCCCGCAGCTTTCTAGCCGACAACCGTCGATCGATCGGTCGGTGGTTGGATATTCGTGTGTACACACCCACATTCGAGTACGGTACGGGCACTGACGAGTGGATGTGTTTGGACGGGATTATCCTTCTTAATTGGAGACAGTTTTTTTTTCAAAACTCATTACCGGATAATCACCTACATTTCTAAAAGGATAAAAACTCCGAATACGATTATTTTGATATTTTTCTAGAATTCACTTGAATTCTGTTCCCCTAAATTCTTTTTGAGTTCTCATAAGAATTATTAAGGGGGTTTTCATTAAAATTAACCTGATGTACTCCGCAAGATCCACATACAATTCTCATCAAAATCACCTAGGAATTCTACTTAATCTACTACTCACAACTCCCTTGGAACTACTTTAAGAATAAAGTAGAAATTTAATCCAGAACATCAGTTCTTCTCCCAGAAATCCTGTGGAATTCACCTCAGAACGACTTCTTCTCAGAATTATGTTGAAACTATGATCAGAACACCATAATATTATTTTCTCAGCATTGTTTTTTATTTGACACTAATACTCTTTTAGGTATTCGCAACGGAATATTCTTTAACCTGTTTGAAACATGAAAATTCTTCTTTCACGGCTTATGAGTTCAACCCAAGTTTAGTTTACTCATAAATCGCGAAAAGTTCAGGAACTTAGCGATAAATAAATTTGCTTCCTGTTTTTCGAGGTTTATCAGAGAAAAAAATGCAGAATATGTGAAAAGCAAAGATTGAATTGTCAGTGTATTGGTACTACCGTAAAACAGGGAAACTTCGATAGTTTTTTTTTCAGCATATTCTAAATATTCTTTATAACAATTAATGTTTTTCAAATATTATTTTTCAAAGCAAGTACTGATAATCCTAGAGTAAATTCGTTAGTAATATATTTAACGGAAAATATTGCATTTGCACTATTATTTTTTTGTCTTGTGACCGAACGTCATTTTTTGTTTGTTTTGAGGCTACTTTGATAATACTCGATGAATGAAGAAAATCATGCGTAAATCTTAAACAATTTAGTTCAAGAAATATGAAGATTTGAATGAGTACATAATCAGAAACATCATAAGCAATAAGAAGACAATATTAAATTTGTGATGAGACTATACCGGACTTTTTCCGTTTTTTTACATTTTCAATCAGGCGTAAAACAAGAAATTAGATTTTTCAGATATTTGGAAAATATGTAAAACTACATCAAACTCTATACGATATCAAAGGAATACCCTAATCTACAAAATGGAACCAATGTTGCCAGTTCGGAAATAGTGCAGAGAGTAAATTTAATCATTATATTCTACTATCATAGTTTCCCGCATTATCAAAGATACCTCGTTTTATGGTACTGCTAGACTGAGAAAAATTATCATCAATTGTCCTCATTTTCCGGCAGATGTTAGGGGTGTTTTCCACAGGAAAACATGAGGCCAATTAACTCATCGCTGAGTTCCTGCACTTTTTGCGAATATGAGTAAACTGAACTCAAATTTGGTTGATCTCATTGGCCGTGTAGTCACAAAGCCTTGACAATTTTCTTTGCTTTTTTGCTTCTATCTTATATCTTGAAAAAAAATTTAATGACCTACACATTGAGTATTTTTATCAGTCGAATTAACGATTCCATTATTTTATTCTAAATCTACGATAAGGGGCTGCTCTTTTACGTAGACAGTTTTTTTTGGATTCTTGACCCCATGCCCGCTGCGTAGACAATTGTCCATATACAATTTTTTAAATTTATATGGGGCGTGGATATTTGTCAACCCCCCTACCCCTTAAATGCCTACGTAGTTTATAAACAACCCATTTTAAAGGTTTTTTTTTTTCATAAATTAGTCGTAACATTTGAAAACGGCACAAAAGCTTTTGTAAACAAAAGTTGTATGGCCCTTTACACGCGAACCGAAGTACGCTCACGCAAACCATTACAACTATCGGATAGGGGAAAATTTCCCCCACCCGATGATATTGTTGGTTTACGTGGGCGTAATTGGTTCGCGTGAGGGCCTTACAACTTTTGTTAACAAAAGCTTTTGTACTGTTTTCAAATGTTACGCCTGAAATGTCAGTGCCTTAGACTCTAAACAAATGTACAACCCTCAGAATCATAGAATGTTTCTTAATCTAATCTAATCTAATCTAATCTAATCTAATCTAACACCAATACAGTCAGTACTTGAAAGCATCCTGGAAAATAATAGATTGGAGAAATGCCTCTAATGTTGGCCTATGGATCTAAGATTGGGCCCATCGCCAAAAATCTGCTATTTATCAATTTTATCTAGATGAACGCGTCATTGGGACGGTAGTAATGGATATTTTTGGCCACTATTGAAAATTTAGTTGTTTGCTGAATTTATGTATGGGCCCAAATTAGGGGCATTTAGGCCGAGATTACACCCATTTCCCCTATACCTTCATCATTTTACTTGTCTATTTTATATATGTTTCACATTGAATATGCGTCACACATACTAAAACGGCCAGCCCTACTGTGCAGCATTTAAGGGGCAAGATGACTCAGAAATCATCGTGCCTGTTTAAATCGATAATCTCAACACTATTCTCCAATAAATGGATGAAACGTCGACATATCGTACCGTACGTAAATTAAAAATCATTGCTGCACGTTGTGCTAATCAGGTACACAAGATTAGTCAGGATATCGTAGAATACCTTGATTAGCCTGTAAAATATAAAGATCTGAATCCATACCTCTCACGCTGAAGTCAATGTACTTGATTATTTTAGAGATAAATCATCCAGCTCAAACCTAGGAGTAATCATCATTATCCTGAGTTTAAATCTAACCGGGATAAGTCACGAATGATCAATGGGTGTTAATGTTACTATTATATATAGTATATTATATAATAATATGATGTATATATAATATAATATATAATAATAAAATATATAAATTAATAAAAAAAGAAAGGAATTTAAAAAAACCTAATATTCCAAACCACACAAGCAACATTTCCGATTTCAATGTGGTCTTTAAGTCAATTCTAAACCTATAAGGCCTCTTCAAAACCATGATAAAACCAAAATTGTTACTTGGGCAATTATATTATGGGGCTTCCCGAAGGTTTACCCATTCTATCATTAAGTCGAATAATCGTATTGATAATCTTAAATTATATTTCGAACGGAGACTCTCAAATGCTCAAAAGTGAAAATCGAACAACATATGTATTAACCTGTACAATATCTCCAATACAATTTAAATATTTTGGTAACACATCTTTGTATCCCACAAAATGTTTTGGGTATAAAGAACTTCAAGATCTAAACTCCTGGAAGATTTTAAGAATTTTCAATACTGCGTATTGATTTATGCTTTTTCCAACATACCAAAACAACATTTAGGCTAATTTTTTGCAGGAGACCCTTTGATTTATACGAATTCATGCTTCCATGAGATTTTGGAGATCTAGATCAACAACATATTAATGCAAATCTTATCTCATATTTTTTCTGAAAAATTGACGTATTGTAGAGCAGTTCTGCTGAAAACATATGATTATCTTTAAACAGTTATTTTTTAATGCCTTTTTAGTTTAAGGCAGCGGTGATTTTTTGGTGTTTTTTTTAAATATCCGGGAAAAACCGGGAATTGGAAGAGTGGATTTGAATGGACACCCTGTCTCACTCGCACTCCGTTTGCCACATGAGCAGATAGCTTGCCAAATCATGTATTTATTAGCAAACTTTGAAAGTTTCTGCTTCCTTACTTCCTCTGGAACATCAAACTTGTGGGCGGTGAAGAACAGTAGCCCCGGAAGCTGCCGGAAGTCCGCCTTGATGTAAGTCTCATCATCAATGATGAGGCAATGCTTGTGCAGCATCTGGGTGTACAGTAGAGTGATGCAAAATTTGAAATTTTCGCTCCACAATACTTAAACGATTCCAAATCGGATCCTGACTAACCTCTCAAAATTTGAACCCATTTGGTGAGAAACTGAGGTCGCACAAACCATTTGAAGTTTGTATGGGAATTACTATGGTAAAACCAAGATTTTTGTTCATGTCTATCTAATAATTCACCATATCGGTCTGCTTCAAAAGCTTTCATTTTTACTTGTAGGAAATTTTCCCAGCTACAACTTTGCTGAAAATCACTTTTTGATTAAATGCAAGGATCGAAAGTTATCAATGGTTCAATGCGCTGATGTCTTATGATTATGCTCAATCAACTGCTCAGCAGGCAACATTGGTGTTTCTGGGGCGTTGAATAGGACACAAAAATCATGGCTACTATGTCACACTGCAAAATACAGTGTTGCCTACAGAGCAGCTGCTTGATCATGTCATAAGTTTACCAATCTCTTAAATAATTAATAACTTTTTCCTGTCTCGTTTTACATAGAAATGATCTTCAGCAAAGTTGTAGCTGAAAAATTTTTCTATAAGAACTGTTTCGCAGCTCAATATGGAAAAAGACTAGAAGGCAATGAACAAAAAGTAGAGATTTCCCATAGTAATTTACATGCAAACTTCAAATGGCTTGTGCGAAGTCTGTTTCTAACCAAATGAGTTGTAAATTTGGGAGGCTAATCAGGACCCAATTTGAAACCATTTAAGCACTGTGGAGCGAAAAAGTCAAATTTTGCATCAGTCTAGTGTACAGTTTCCGGGTCCATGATTTTCCCACCGTATTTTGCCGTTCGTCACGATTTGGAGCGTTTTGCACTTTGTACGTATGCAGTTCCTCCCGGTCCTGGGTTCTCTGAACGAAAGACAGATTCAACTTTTTGGCCACATCCCTGATAGAAGCATTGGGATTCCGCTTAAACGCTTTCACGACACGCTTGTGATCCTGATCACTAATAGAACATCCATTTTGACCGCATTTCTTCTTCCGTTCGATGCTCAGAGTTTCGTAGTAACGTTTAATCACACGACTCACCGTTGACTGCACGATTCCGAGTTGTTTTTCGATGTCCCGATGAGAGAGTTGAGGATTTTTTAGGTGCTTGCGCAAAATCAATTAGCGACGTTGCTTTTCGGGTGGCGCCATTTTTTCAACTTTCGAAAAACCGACAGCGATAAAAATACAGTGTAAACAATGCACTCTAAACTACTTCTACCCAAATTTTAAACAAAAAATACCCAATGGGTAATTTTCTACAGCGTTTTTTCCTTGATGCAATTTGATGTGGGACACCCTTTACGTCACTTTTTTTTGACCAATGTTGAGGATAAAGTATTTTCCTTTAAAAAATCACAGCTTGATTTGTTAACAAAAGATTCATTAAAAATCAGCGTGTAAAATCTAACCAAAAAAGTTGGGAAGAGGCTGGAACGTTTATTGTCCAATCAACTGATTTTGACGGAATCACTAATATTTTTTAGAACTCCTTGATCCAGACATTCAAGTCCGTTATCTTCAAAATTTATCCAGACCCTTTTTTTTCCTTTCCTGTGATCTTGAAATTTTCATACAAACTCTCTGAGGTTTCGAAAAAATGTTAGACCCAACATGCAGGCTTTTCTACTTAGTGATCTTGAATGTTTTCCTAGCCCAAGATGTCGAAAAATGGCCTAGGAAATTTCTTTTTAAGATCATTAAATTAAATGTATTTTATTTTTTCCGGGCTTGTGATTCGGAATAAACAAATTTCCAAGTCCAGGTCTTAGAAAAGAAAATTCTATGTCCAAGATCATAATTTTTTAACATGTTTAAGAAGCATTTAAAAAGCAGGACTGATGATATTCCATATGTTTAAAATAACGAAAGTTATTTCGGCCGCTCAATTTTCTAAATTTGTTGATTTTTAGAGAACTGAAATTTTTAAGTCCCAGCATTAAAAAATAGTCCAAAGTTTCTCCTGTTTATCCCTGAATCTTATGAAAAAAAATCAAGATCGAGATTTTAAGTCCTAGACACATGCAAAATTGTCTACGTCCGTATTCTTTCCATCTTGGAAAATGCACCTCGTTCCAGTACAATGATATTTTTTCTTAGATTGCGATCAAGAAAAGTTTTCTGGGTTCCAGAGTTATGATTTTTTTCCTATGTTCTAAAATTGACAGTCTTAAAATTGTCGAAATTTGTCCAAGTCCGAGACTTTAAACAATTGTTTCTGTGTCTCAATTTTTCGTTCGAATTACCAATTTGCGATCTGCATCTAAAATCAACTTGGTAAATTGTTTGAAATAAATTGAGGTATGGAAAGTGGTACTAGAGCTCCAGTTTTAGGCCCTAAGGCCTAAACCATATAGTCATACAAATTTCGGCATAGTGGCAAAGTCTTTCTAACCTTCAGGCAAGTTCTTAAAACATTTGCGATAAATCCAGGAAATTTCAGTGTATGTCAACAAAAATTGTAAGTCATTAAAAGTATGTGTCCAGAAGATTTCAAATATTTTTTCAGATAATTGATACCAAGAGAAATTTCCATTGCAAGTTTAAGGAACTTTTTGCAAAGTTCAACGCTCAAAAAATAATATACTAAACGTTTGCTAGCTGAAAGGGATTTTATTTTTTTTTATATATAAATCGCATCTTTCTTCAGCCCTTTTTTTGACAGCTCTAAACAATATTAAGTTGCTGGTTGAATAATTTTTGAATATGGTAAACGCTCCTATGCAGACTCAATACACAACTATAGGAACCTAACGCTTCTAACGTACCGCAACTATAGGAGCGTTTACCCTATCTGCAATATGCTGGTACTTTGAAATTATAAAAAAGGTTCATTTCAGTTAGCGAACGTTAAAAAAAAGAACTGGTCGGGAAGACTTTACCGGGTAATCCGCCTTAGACATCAATCCAGGTCCAAACACACCACCGTTCGACAGTGCCCAAAATGACAGTCCACGCGCAAATCAGTTTTCCTTTCTAGCTGTGGTTATTTTTCTACCATCAAGTCTATCTACTGGTAAAACGGACCAGCTAATATATGCGTATTCCTTTATATTATTTTTCCTCACCGCACGTCTCATTGTTTTTTATTCATTTCTTTTTTTCTTTTCTCTTTCGTCTTTTAAACTCGCCATATTTGCTAGGTTAATGGAACATCTGTACGATCCTCGACGCATACCAACGTGGTGGAGTTGATCAAAGGTAAACAAATAAATGTAAACCCGAACAGAAAGAAAACGGAGGAAAATCGCATCCATCCTCTCTCAGCTCAGTTCAGTTCCAACTTGCGTTGGATCGATGTAAATTTCTGGCACGCGTCGGTCAGTCGTCGTGCTCGCTCACTGTTCACGGTAGTTAAACTGAAATAAGAGTCAAACGGTAGTAGTACGTAGTTGCAAGTTTTGACCCAAACTGCTGCTGTGACGACAGCACCGTTCAAGAAATATAGTTGAATAAACAGGCGCTTCTCGTTACCAACTATGTTTTCTTTACCTACTCCCTCGGTCGCCGCCTGTGTGTGCAACTTCTTTTTTTTTCTCTGTTAGATTTAAATTACTATTCCTTCGTGTGTGAGAAGAGGAAAGTGTAATGTGTGTAATGGATTTTATTGCGCATGATAAAACGCACATTTATGTCACGTTGGATTTTAACTACATACCAACTGCTCTTCGAGGGTTTCTCTCTCTCTCTCTCGTGGTGTGTGTCGTTGTTTGATTAGGTTTCACTTTCCACTGCATGATTTGTTTGTTTATGTTTTGGCTACTGTAAAGGAGAACTGGGTGTTGATTGGTATTTATTTTGTCTATATTGCTGCTGCAGAAAAGTATGCGCTTAAGTCAAAGTCTACTCTATTATTGCATTCCAGTTTTACTTCATTTTCAAATTAATGTAAACACTGAATGTGAAACAGTTTGCCAAGACGTAAAGTTACGGTTTGTAACCTCATTTTCACAAAAACTCTGGTCGTCCTAAAACTGCTCGATAATACGATTAATTATTGATGAATTTTCACCCAATCACTTTGTAGTGGAACTGACACGTTAATGCATGTTTTGAATTTCTGATATAATTTTCATTTTACCTAGATGGCTACGTTTTATATTGAATTTTTTACTTGGAGAAATTCCTTAAATATTTTAAGAAAATTACTCAAAAGGGCACTTCTCAATTGCGTGACGTACCTTCATTGTTATTCATTCATTGACCACTTTGTCAAGCAGTTTTGGCGCTACTTTCTACCAGCGATTCCACAAAACTGGACCAACTAATTTTTATTTTTTATGAAACGCACAAATGATGGCTACTTTTCTCGTGGTTCTAGAAGAAAAAATCTCAAAATAATGTTTTATTTCAAAGTTCGAGTGGTATAAAACGTCATTTTAACTGCTCAAATGAAGTGGTTAATTATCGTTGAATGAATAACTATAAATACCTCTATTGCAGTTGGTATAATAAATGAGAATGAAGCAATTCTCGAAGAAAAATAATGATTCGTTTGTTGTAGTAATGAGATCTCTGCCAGTTATCCATAGTTTCAGACCAGATAACTTGGTGGCCTCACAGCCGGATCTCATATACTGAGCTCCATCGTCGATGTCATTAGAAGCCGATATCGGCAGAAATTGGTGAACGCGGTGGGTTGGCCACACACACTATTTGATCTGCGTCACATAAATTTCATAAATCACGAAAGTAAGCAGTCAGTCAGCATAGAAATCTTTATTTTGAGCCCCAAGGTCTTGAGACTTTCTTGAAGTTCTGTCTTATAAGTCTTGCGGAATTGACCAACGAAGCATCCTTAGTTGATTCATAAAATCTGCGATAATAGGCGTATATAGTAGTGATAAGGCATTTGAAACTGTCCCAAATTCTCTGAAATCGCTCGGAAAGTCCACTCGAATGAACTCATTAAGGCATTTGGATTAATATTATGTGATTAGATATCCACAATGATTTTTGCTGTCAACCGATAGGACCTCAACAGTTGATTGAAAATGTATTTTAAGATGATCCATTGGATGTGCGAAATTATCCCGGAGCTGATTTTTTTGGATTTAACCCATAAGATCATTGGAGTTAAGCTATAAGACTTCCAAAGCTAACCAAAAAGGTCTCTGAATATGAGCTGCTGGGCTTTTGATTTATCTCGTAAGCTCTCTGTAGTTAGCCTATATAGCCTTTGAGTTTTTTTTTTTTTTATTAATTACTTTATTTGTACAGGCTCAATCGAATAAACTTTACAGAGCCGAGTTATCATTTTTGTTATACATTATTGATTTCTTATATTTAAAGTTAAAGGAGCTGGACCGGATACTCGCGGTTGTCTCGAGGTTAGTGGGGATTTACAATTTTTTTGGATGGGAAAAGGGAGAGGGAGGTTTGAAATGTGGTTTACGATACAAATATTTAATTAATCCTAAAACATGAACTAATTTCTATTCATCTTGAAAACAAACATAAAAAAAACCCACACGTACAAAATACAAACTAAACACAAGGTTAATAAAACTTACAATCTAATGTTAATATTCTTAAAGTAAACATATATGAGTTTCATAAACTCCAGATCGCGTCTAGCCAAAATATCCCGAACTGGAACATTAGGTTGTCTACCTCGAGCCCGAAGGGAATCGTACAGTTCAGATCTGACTCCGCGATGCTCAGCACATGACCAAATAATGTGATCTGCGTCCTGGTAACCTTGTCCACATTCACAGAGATTGCTGTCCCCCAGCCCAACACGGAACAAGTGAGCGTTTAACGAATAGTGATTGGACATGAGGCGAGACATCATACGAATGAAGTCTCGACCCACATCCAACCCCTTGAACCAAGAACTCTTCGACACCTTAGGGATGATCGAATATAGCCATCGTCCCAAACTTCCTTCACTCCACTTATTCTGCCAGCTGACGAGTGACTGTTGACGATAAATGAAGAAAAATTCATCGTAGGCGATTTGTCGATCGTAAATATCGCCTTCCATAGCGCCCACCTTAGCAAGTGAGTCAGCCATCTCATTGCCCGGAATCGAGCAATGAGATGGGACCCATGCAAAGGTGATGACAAAAGATCTTAAAGATAAAGCACTTAAAAACTCTCGTATTTTCATGAGAAAATACGAGGAGTGCTTTACCGGCCTCATAGAGCGAATAGCCTCGACAGAACTGAGACTATCCGTAAAAATAAAATAATGATCTGGTGCAAGTGAGGCGATCGTTTCTAGCGTATAATGTATTGCCGCCAGCTCAGCAACATATACGGAACAAGGAGCTTGAAGCATTCGAGAGGCGCTATGAAATTCGTTAAAAATACCAAAACCAGCGGACGAATCTATTAGTGATCCATCTGTGAAGAACGATCTTGCGGAATCAACTTGGCCAAACTTTGCAGCGTAAATTGACGGAACAATCATGGAACGATGATGTTCTGGGATTCCACGAATCTCCCGCGTCATAGATAAATCAAAACTAACTGAATTGCCGAAGTCGGAGAAGCATACACGATGAGGATTATGCTGTGAAGGGCTGACATCCTGTGTTATGTACACGTAGTACAATGACATAAAACGAGTTTGAGGGTTCAGCTCAAGAAGCTTTTCAAAGTTTTCGATTACCAGTGGGTTCATAACTTCGCAACGGGTGAGGAGCCTGAGGGACAATTCCGAGAACCGATCCGATAGTGGCAACATGCCCGCCAACACCTCTAGACTCATCGTATGAGTCGAGTGCATGCATCCTAACGCGATACGAAGACAACGATACTGGATACGTTCCAGTTTGATGATGTGAGTTTTAGCCGCCGACTGGAAACAAAAACTACCGTATTCTAAAACCGATAAAATCGTTGTCCGGTACAACGTTAGAAGATCTTGCGGATGGGCTCCCCACCACGTTCCGGTAATTGTTCGGAGAAAATTGATCCTTTGTTGGCATTTTTGTCTCAGATACTCAATGTGGGATCTCCAGGTGCATTTTGAATCGAACCAGACCCCAAGATATTTGAAGGACATAGAATGAGTGATCGGTTTACCCAAAAGTTGAAGCTTTGGTTGTGCTGGGCTATGCTTCCTAGAAAAAACGACCAACTCAGTTTTCTCCGTGGAGAATTCGATACCTAGCTGAATAGCCCAAGTAGACAAATTGTCTAAGGTATCCTGTAAGGGTCCTTGCAGGTCGACCCCTTTGGGCCCTGTCATAGACACTACGCCGTCATCTGCAAGTTGTCTCAACGTGCAGTTGTCACTTAGACAATTGTCAATTTCTCTGACGTAGAAATTATACAAAAGGGGGCTTAAACATGAGCCCTGGGGGAGACCCATGTAACTAAATCGAGAAGCTGTAGAGTTTCCATGAGAAAAGCTCATATGTTTCTCTGACAGCAAATTGTACAAAAAGTTATTTATTAATGGAGAAAGGCCACAAGCGTGGAGTTTGTCTGAAAGGACTTCAACGGATACTGAATCAAAAGCCCCCTTGATATCCAAGAATACAGAAGCCATTTGCTCTTTTTTAGCAAAAGCCAACTGAATTTCAGTGGAAAGCAACGCGAGACAGTCGTTCGTTCCCTTGCCCCTACGGAATCCAAATTGAGTATCTGAGAGTAGGTGGTTCGTCTCAACCCATTTGTCCAAGCGAAAAAGGATCATTTTCTCCAACAATTTTCGAATGCACGATAACATCGCGATGGGACGATACGAGTTATGATCTGAAGCGGGTTTTCCAGGCTTTTTAATGGCTATAACTCTCACTTGCCTCCAATCATCCGGAACAATATTGAGCTCCAGGAACTGACAAAACAAGTTCAACATGCGCCTCTTAGCGACGTCTGGGAGGTTCTTCAACAAGTTGAACTTGATTCTATCAGCCCCCGGAGCTGAATTGCCACACGAAAGGAGCGCGAGTGAGAGTTCCAGCATTGAAAAAGGCTGGCTGATCTCGTCTACAGAATTCGTCGTTTCGCGAGGAATCATCTGTGCCGGCACGGAATCAGGACATACTTTTCGCGCGAACTTAAGAATCCAACGATCTGAGTACTCCTCGCTCTCGTTGTTCGAAGACCGGTTACGCATCCTTCGCGCCGCGTTCCAAAGCGTATTCATCGTCGTTTCGCGCGATAATCCGTCCACGAATTGCCGCCAGTATCCGCGTTTCTTGGCTTTGATGAGGCTCTTGAGTTCGCGTTCAAGAGCCGAGTACGCT